TGCATGCCTGTAGTCCCAGCTACTTGGGATGCTGTGAAATGAGGATCCTTTGAGCCCAGGTGTTGGAGTTTGCAGTGAGCTGTGATGACACTGCCGCACACTAGCCTGGGCAACAGAGCAAGACCCTGTCTGAAAAAATAAAAGCTAAGATACAAAGAAGAATTTAGCATTCTAATGAGCAAAATGGATACACTGTATTATGATATACAGTGACATGAACATTAATAGAAACATTTTAAAAGTCATAGCAATGAGGTAGAAAAAGGTAAGTTTTTCTTTGTTGACTTAGAGAGAGCTTCAAAGAATAAATGGTATTGAACTGATCCTTGAAACGGAAAGAAAAGAGGAAAGGGAATTACATTCGTTGAGTTACTGTTACATGCCAGGAACATTACTACATTATTTAATCCCCATACAATGCTGCAAAGTAGATATTACCTTTATTTAGAGACCAAAAACTGAGTTTAGAGGGGTGAAATTATTGTCCCAAGAATCCACTGCTATTAAGTAGCAGAGCTGGGATATGAACCCAAGTGTTGTCTGTCTGCTGGCTTTTTCTACAGTATTTCAAAATGCAGACGATGTGAGGAATATACAGGTAATTCCAGCCTCACAATTTAATGAGAAAGCTGAACATGTATATATGTACATATAGTAGATGGCAGAATATAAGTCTGGATCAATCCAGTTGTTCATCTTCTCTGTGTTTACCACCTAGGATGCTGAGTGCTGCTGAAGAAAAATTACACAGAAAGATACTACTATACATATGTAACATTTCAACTTGGCAATTCTTTTATGTACTCACTCATTTATTACATACCTACTTCAATCTTTCTACTCTTCAAAATGGAAAAGGTAAATAAATACTCTGGTCTAAAGCTAAATCCCATCACTTTGCTAAGGATCTCCTCCTGTCCTAACACTTTTGCTCAGTCGATTATCCTGTCCCTTTTATACTTTCAATGTCTTTGTATTTGATTTCTTCCTATCACCATTTAAACTGGATAATGTCTAATGTTGGGAGCTAAAAGCTCTTGATCTCATGGCCCCTCCTTGATCATCCTATATTTTCTTATTCAAATATCTTAAGGGTTGCATATTTTTCCTGTGATTACTTTTCAACTTCTAATTGATTTATCAATTCACTGCTATCTGTCTTTTAGTGCCACTGACATTGCTGTAGTATTTTATTAAATCCAAATGACACTTCCTTTTTTTTTTTTTTTGAGACAGAGTCTCACTGTGTTGCCCGGGCTAGAGTGCCGTGGTGTCATCCTAGCTCACAGCAACCTCAAACTCCTGGGCTCAAGCGATCCTCCTGCCTCAGCCTCCCAAGTAGCTGGGACTACAGGCATGCGCCACCATGCCTGGCTAATTTTTTCTATATATTTTTAGTTGTCCAATTAATTTCTTTCTATTTTTAGTAGAGACGGGGTCTCGCTCTTGCTCTGGCTGGTTTCGAACTCCTGAGCTCAAACAATCCGCCCGCCTTGGCCTCTCAGAGAGCTAGGATCACAGGCGTGAGCCATCGCGCCCGGCCAACACTTCCTTTTTTTATTGTTGTTTCGCCAGACCTCTTGACAGCATATACCACTGCTGACAATTCCCTCCCTTCTGAATGTTCTTCTGGGGCTTCACTGACTCCACTCTCTTTTAGACGTTCCTCCCATCTCTGCTTACTCTTCACTCTTCCTTGTGTAAACACTTTTTCTGATGCTCATCCCTTAAATTACGGTGTTCTTCAAGATTCTATCATAGGCCTTTTCCTATGTTCACTCTCTATTTTCTCACTAGTTGCATTTAATTTATTTCCATGTAAAGTATCATCTTTTTGTTGTGACTCTCAAACCTCTAATTCTAGGCAAATTCTCTTTTTTGGGCTAAAGAACCTACATTTTTGACTCTCTACTGGATATATGTACTAAGATATTTTCTTGAGCTTTTCTTCCCCAAACCTATTCCTCCTATGTTCTTTGTAGCACCATGACAGACCTGCCATAAACACAAGCCAAAAACCTGGGCACCAATTCTCATTCCTCCTCTCTTTATCAGTCCCTAAATTGAATCAATCACCAAGCTCTGTGATTCTGCTTCTTAAATAGCTTTCAGATTGGTACATCTTTGTCTCATGCCATCACACCAGTCTAGTTCAAGACACCACCATCACTCACTGAATACTGGAATAGCTTCCTAAGAGGGGTTCTCACCACTGCCCCGATACTATGCCAAGAGCCATGAGAAAAGGGCTTCTACATCAGCTTCTCAAAATTGATCTCAGTATTCTGTTGGACATTTGGCTAATTAAAGGGACTTTTCCTATTCTCAAAAGCTTATATTCTAAGGACACATGGACCAAATATGTACAAAGA